GTCAGGACCTGGTCTCATGGGGTTTTACCCGCGCAGTTTGAAAGGTGCTTGCAATCTACTTAGGTGTCAGTGCCGCCTCTTCCCTGCCCCGCCCGGCTTCTCCGATCACCCTGGGGGGCTGGGCAAAGGCTGCCCGGTTCTTGCCTGCTGCCTGGGTTTCCAATCACCCTCGGCAGCATCTTCCATCCTTCCCTGTTTGCCTCCCAGCATTGCGCTTATGTATGCAAATTAACCGCCATCTTTGTTGGTGGTTAACTGCCATCTTTCTTGGCAGTTAATGTGCATATCGCCCTGATTAGCCAATGGGAAGTGTGTCGGAGGTACGGTTAATTACCATGTTTGTCTTTTATTAGATTAGATTCTAAGGTCCCACACTTCAAATACCATAACATTGGGGACTAGGGCTTCAAAATATGGAGATTGGGGGGACACAAATATTCAGTCTATAGGGTAGGGGATGAAAAAAGAATTCACATACAAGTCATCCCTACTTCACAATTTTTTTTTTTTTGCAATACCAGATCTGGAAGTCCCTATAATGGGGCTAAAATTAATATCCAACAGTTTGGAAACATCACCAAATGAGAAACTATGTCTATTACTTTGACTAGTGGCAAGAATTCCAAAGGGATTGATTGGATGGATAATCTCCCTGTATCACCAAGTTGGGCTGACTATGCAAATGTTTGTTGCCTTGAAGGTGCTCACGATCTACATAGTGGCTAGGACCCGGTCTCAGGGGGGTTGCAGTTCGATCTACGTGGGCGGTCAGGACCTGGTCTCATGGGGTTTTACCCACGCAGTATGCAAGGTGCTTGCGATCTACGTGGTGGCCAGGACCCGGTCTCATGAGGTTTGCAGTTTGAAAGGTGCTCGTGATCTACGTGATAGCCAGGACCTGGTCTCAGGGGGTTTGCACTTTGAAAGGTGCTCGCGATCTACCTGGTGGTCAGGACCTGTTCTCATGGGGTTTTACCCGTGCAGTTTGCAAGGTGCTCGCGATCTACCTGGCGGCCAGGATCCAGTCTCATGGGGTTTGCATTTGAAAGGTGTTCTGATCTACTTGGTAACCAGGACTCGGTCTAACGGGTTTTTACCCACGCAGTTTGAAAGGTGCTTGCAATCTACATGGCAGCCAGGACCCGGTCTCAGGGGGTTTGCAGTTCGATCTACGTGGTCAGTCAGGACCTGGTCTCATGGGGTTTTACCCGCGCAGTTTGAAAGGTGCTTGCAATCTACTTAGGTGTCAGTGCCGCCTCTTCCCTGCCCCCCCCCGCTTCTCCGATCACCCTGGGGGGCTGGGCAAAGGCTGCCCGGTTCTTGCCTGCTGCCTGGGTTTCCAATCACCCTCGGCAGCATCTTCCATCCTTCCCTGTTTGCCTCCCAGCATTGCGCTTATGTATGCAAATTAACCGCCATCTTTGTTGGTGGTTAACTGCCATCTTTCTTAGCAGTTAATGTGCATATCGCCCTGATTAGCCAATGGGAAGTGTGTCGGAGGTACGGTTAATTACCATGTTTGTCTTTTATTAGATTAGATTCTAAGGTCCCACACTTCAAATACCATAACATTGGGGACTAGGGCTTCAAAATATGGAGATTGGGGGGACACAAATATTCAGTCTATAGGGTAGGGGATGAAAAAAGAATTCACATACAAGTCATCCCTACTTCACAATTTTGTTTTGCAATACCAGATCTGGACGTCCCTATAATGGGGCTAAAATTAAGATCCAACAGTTTAGAAACATCACCAAACGAGAAACTATGTCTATTACTTTGATTAGTGGCAAGAATTCCAAAGGGATTGATTGGATGGATAATCTCCCTGTATCACCAAGTTGGGCTGACTGTGCAAATGTTTTGTTGCCTTGTGGATGGGACAGCCATATTTCTCTGCACTTAACCAGCTCAACCCTATACGGCTAGGAATGGCCCAAAGAGGAAGCCCTGGTCATTTCGCCTTGCTACCATCACTATCAGTGACTTCAAGGGGAAAGGTTGATTTTAAAATTATGGTACATGGGAGCAATAGTGAGATTGTTGCTTAGTGGAGGGAGCCAACAAATGTGTGTTACAAAAGCAAACATTCTAAAATAACAGTGGTGCCTGAAGAGAGGCTTAGAACAAGTGAAAACTATGCTCTTAGCTTAGACTCAGGTGCATCTTGGGACAAAAGACTGCCAAAATTTCCTCCACTTTTAACTAAATGAAGGAGCTGTACAATGGCCAATCTAAGCACACTTTCGTCCTTTTTATTCTATAAACAGATCAGAACTCAGATGACTATATGGAACAATACCAATGTAGCTGTCTTTTTTTAAAAAATATATTTTATTGATTTTTTACAGAGAGGAAGGGAAAGGGATAGAGTTAGAAACATCCATGAGAGAGAAACATCGATCAGCTGCCTCCTGCACACTCCCCACTGGGGATGTGCCCACAACCAAGGTACATGCCCTTGACTGGAATCGAACCTGGGACCCCTCTGTCCACAGGCCGACGCTCTATCCACTGAGCCAAACCAGCTAGGATGTAGCTGTCTCTTATGATTCTCATTCCATAGAACATTGTGTCTATAAGACAGAATGGGCTTAAAGATTTACACTTGAATGACAGATTGATCAGAATTCTTATTATTCAACAGATGTATACCATAAAGTGCAGACAGCTATAGATCTGGGAGGCCCCCCAAAAAGAAAAGTGTAAAAATATAAAAATATGAGACAATCTGTATCAGCGTTATAGGGTGGTCTAAATTATGCAACCCCACATTTGTTACTACAACTGTCTGAAATCTGTGTGTATTTTGACTGTCTATTTGATTACATGTTGTTGAAAGGCAAATGACTGTTGTCAAACTAAGAGTGATGTGTATTTTGTAAAAGGCTTTGACAAAAAATCAGGGGATTAAGTCCAGCAGACTTGGAATAGGCCTGACATAAGTATCTATACATCACTATTCATTAGTCCAAGATGAAATACATTAGTGTTGCTTTGTAACCATGGACCCAAGAAGTTTGGGGACATGTTTGAACATCTTATCAACAGTGTTTATTGATAACAGTGCAACTGATCATTTATACCCATTCTCATTAAGACCTTCAGAGTCTGCTTACCTAAAAATACACCTACATACCTAGCACAATAGAAGAAACCTCGGCAGTAAATCAACTTTTGGCTTATAGGGTATTCTATGCACATGTTAGTTCTTACTAGATAATAAAATTATCTGTGCAATGGGTAACATTGGGAACTCGTGCCTGACTTTTATCTAAACCCTTTGCTGTGAAGCAACCTCTGGCTGTGAAGCAATGCATCCTTTTTCCTTCATACATTAACATTTGTAAGTATTGCCATTTTGGGCCTGAGTCTTCTTCAGCAACTTAACTCTATTTAACTGTCACTGTTAGTGCACCACGTTCCTTGGAATGTCGCAGTTCTGTAGTTTAAAGCCTTGTGGCCACTTCTCAATGTATAACCTTTTGCTCTCTCATGCGTTATCTACCCATAAGGCAGTGATGGCGAACCTATGACACGCGTGTCAGAGGTGATACACGAACTCATTTTTTTGGTTGATTTTTCTTTGTTAAATGGCATTTAAATATATAAAATAAATATCAAAAATATAAGTCTTTGTTTTACTATGGTTGCAAATATCAAAAAATTTCTATATGTGACATGGCACCAGAGTTAAGTTAGGGTTTTTCAAAATGCTGACACGCCGAGCTCAAAAGGTTCGCCATCACTGCCATAAGGCATGTATAATCTAGTTCTTTTTTCATGTTTATTCAGTAGTCTCTTTTGTTCCTTCCCATATTTTCTGTGCTTTCTCAGTGTGCTTGTTGGTTTCTCCTTCTCTTGGATTCACAGTGAACTCTGGCCACCAATAATCTTCTCTGGTTTCCTGAGAAAACAATGAAGTTTTATTCCTGTTTATCACAATAGGCATGATTACATTCTACTTGTGCTGTTGGGTTATTATCTTCTATCAGAGGTACATGCCTATTTTGAAAGCATGTTATCAGTAGAACTGTTTTTCACATGTACTTCTATCAATTTCTCTCCCAGAAGTGTTGCTTTTATAACAGTTCCTATTAGATTTTCATCCACACTTGTCTGATGATGTGCACTGCTTCTGTGCAATAACATATGCCTGTGTTCATGCTTCACTAGTAAATCTTGGTCTCTATAGTCCTTCCCTGGTTTAACTATTAAGTTATTATCTAGGAGTGACCATTTGCTCCTAATCTTTTATGTATCTATCTCATTATGTCATCTGCCTATTGTCGATAGACTCAATCTTATTTTTCTAATGGTAACACACCCACACCTGTTTTGTTTTTATTTAATCCCCACCCTACAATATTTTTCCCACTGATTTTTAGAGAGTGGGATGGAAGGAGGAGGAGGGAAGAGAGAAAAACATTGATGTGAAAGAGACACATCGATTAGTTGCCTCCTGCATGCCTGGGCTGGGGATGGAACCTACAGCCAAAGTACGTGTCATTGACTGGGAGAACCAGCAACAACCCTACAGTCCACAGGCCAGCACTCTAACCACTGAGCAAACAGGCTAGAGCGACACCACTCTTTTTTTAAGTTGTGTTAGTACCATACAATTTATCAATGCTTTAAAAAGAAAAAACCCTATGTAGGCATTTGGCTGTGATACCCCATCTTACTCTCAAGCCTGACTTATTTCTCCTATCATCTTGAATTTCTTACTTATCATGGATTGTCATTCTTTTTATCTACTGTTATTATCTTGGTTAATATAACCACCTCTGGGTTGATTGGCTCAGAAAATGCAAACTTTCTTTCAGTCCTTTCATTACTCAAAGTCCAACCTCCGAAGATAAAGATGATGTATAGAAGAGCTCAGCCGATGTGGTTCAGTGGTTGAGGCAGGAGGTTGCGATTTTGATTTCTGGTCTGGGCACATGCCCTGGTGTGGGTTCAATCCCCAGTGTGGTGTGTACAGGAGGCAGCTGATCAATGGTTCTCCCTCTTCATTGATGTTTTTATCTCTCCCTCTCCATTCCTCTCTGAAATCAATAAAGATATATGTATATTTTAAAAGATGTATAGAAGAGCTGAGCACCACTTTCATGATGAGATGTGAAGATAAATAAAATCCTTAAGTTAAATCCTGGGGAACAAAGAAAAGGGCAATGATTCTTTCATGTTCCAATAAACATTAAAACCAAAAAGTTGGATTGTGAACTAGATCAGCTTAAGACTATTTTTAAACTCCGGGTGTTCTAGTTTTTAACTTATTTATATTGTCTCCAACATTAAAATAAGAAATATATAAAAAGGATTTTGATCTTATTTTATGTACAACTTGATAAACTATTAGTTTATTAAAGAAATTTTTATCAAGTAGCAAGCATGGTGCTATGCTTTTAAGTTGAGGGATACTACCTCAACCAGGTAATCAAGCTTAGCATTGTTAATGATCATTCACGTTGACAGCATATGGTATTAATGAGAATGGCTTTTTTTTTAACCTCTGTGATCTTCCTTCAAAAGTATAAAATGGTAACACCAGTGCAAACATAAAAATATACCAGAAACCCAAATTGAGAGTCTACAAAATACTTAAGTACTCCTCAAAACTGTCAAGTTAATAAACATGGAAGGTATGAGAAATCGTCACAGACCAGTGGAAGCTAAGGAAACATGAAAATTAAGTGTAATGTGGTATCCTGAATGAAATTTCAGAATACAGCAGTAGAGAAAAATACTAGTGAAATCTGAAAAATAATATGTTTAGTTAATAATGTATCAGTTTTTCTTAACAATGACAAATGTACCAGAGTAATAAAAGATGTTAATAAGGGGACTGTGTGAGGAGTGTATAGGAATTATTGTTTTAACTATTCTTTAAATCTACAACTATCCCAGAATGAAGTTAATTTTCTAAAAATTTAAAGTAGTTTTCTAGAAATCAATAGTTTTCTGAAAAAATCAAGCATGTAGAGATACCCTTTTGGCCCCGTGCAACACACTCACATTGTATCAAAGTGGCAGAGAATGAGGAGGGACAAACATATTCTCTTAGTTGCTGGAACTCTCCTGCCACCAGGAGTGCTAACCCAGTCTCTGGTGTGCTAGCCCGGGTGGTACTATCAGCTTCATCTCCTGGCCTTTTTCTATGGCAGTGATGCCACCAAGTAAAGCAATGATAAGCCAGTCAAAGAAATGCCTGTTTTCCAATTAATGGTAAAGAACAAACAAAAACACATAGTGTTCCCTCACATAATATTAATAGAAGATAGGGAATAGAAAATTTACTCAGGGAATCAACTGACATTGTCTACATAATCTACCAGATCACACTTGCAGAAAGCAGCATGCCCAGTGTTGAGATAAATTTTTAGTGGTTCAGGTTTTAAAAATGAGAAATTCATTTACTTTCTTCTCTGTGCTGACCAAACCATGTAGCCTGAAATTAGGACAGATTGAACAAATATTTTCTTGGCTAAGACTATACTATATTGTTCCCCCCCCCCACAAAAAAGCAAGTTCTTTTCAATACTAATGCAGTGCTTCTGACATGAAAGTAGCCCTGATTTCATTCTAATTCTACAACCTCCTATCCAAGCAGGGCAAAAATCAACTAGTTTGCAATGCTGCAGTATCAGCAAGCATCATGGGACTGGGAAAAGATCCTATACCGGATACTCAGGCTACATGCATACAAGAGAGCTAAGACTTGCTTAATAATTACTCAGTGCAAAATGAACCACTAAAATGGCATAAAATGAAGGCCAAACGACTATGTAAGAATCAACATCCACCACACATGCAAAGAATCCTTGAGAAATCTTATGGTCTTAAAAAAACAGGGCCAGACCAATAGTCAGATATCCCAGGCAGGCCAACATCGAACAGCATCAAGCTGAGGGGAGCCAAAGAAGAAGCACATAGACCAGTGGTTCTCAACCTTGGCTGCATATTAGAATCACCTGAGAATCTTTTTAAAATCCTGATTTCTGGGCCTCATCCTCAGGAAATTCTGTTTGTTACTAATGTTGTGGCCCCACCCCATAACAAAGAAACAGAAATTCCGAAGGATGAGGCCCAGAAATCAGGATTTTAAAAAGATTCTCAGGTGATTCTAATATGCAGCCAAGGTTGAGAACCACTGGTCTATGTGCTTCTTCTTTGGCTCCCCTCAGCTTGATGCTGTTCGATGTTGGCCTGCCTGGGATATCTGACCATTGGTCTGGCCCTGTTTTTTAGGACCATAAGATTTCTCAAGGATTCTTTGCATGTGTGGTGGATGTTGATTCTTACATAGTCGTTTGGCCTTCATTTTATGCCATTTTAGTGGTTCATTTTGCACTGAGTAATTATTAAGCAAGTCTTAGCTCTCTTGTATGCGATTTTACTCATTTCTGAAACTGACACATTTTCTTAGAAAAAAATTATCTGTTGCAAACTCAATGTGTTAGAAATGTCACAACAAAATACAAGGTTTTAGTCTAATCTTAATTGTTTGATGTTTAATAAAGTTCACTGGGAAGTAAAGGCCTTTGTGTTTTTCCCTGAGATTTCTCTCATTTTTAATGAGGTTGTCTGATCATTCAGGATCATTGATAGAAGTTGCCTTCCTCATGTGAGTTCTATAATATACAATGACAGGTTGAATTATGATAGATCTTCTGACATTTATTATATTTACAGAGTTTGTGAACCCTCAAAGGAAAAAAAGACACCTATTAAGAAGAGCTTCTGGTGGCTACTTTGGCTCAAACAAACAAACAAAAAAAGCAGAGCCAGCAGCCATTTCTGCACAGGGGACTTTTATGCAAACTGCTCAGCACTAAACTGCCATTGGCTGAGCCAGCCCTTATAATGGTTTCCTGGAATCCTATTTCTACCAATTGGATTGAGGCTTTCTCCATTCAATCAGAGCAGCTCTATTCTGACCAATCAGGACCAGTGCCTTTGGACCAAACTGTGAGGATTTGGATGGCTCATGTGCATGAGGACAGACCAATCAGGGACCAGAGGCAGGGACTTCTGTCCATTTAAGCCAGCTCCCCTCGGGCTTGGGGAGCGAACTTTCCACTGAAGACCGTTTTTCCCCAGCTACAGTAGAAACATGGGAGATGCCTCGTTGGAGCAGACCAGAGCTGCCTGGCCAAAGACAATCCTGGCCCAAGGGTGACCTAGGCCCTGCTGTTTTCACAGCTGCACTGCATCACAACTGAGCTATTCCTCAGCTGTGCTATTTTCACAGCCATGCTATAGCACTGAGTCAAGTTTCCTTCCTCACTGCACCCCAAATCAGGGATTCCTGTTGGTGCTGAGTTGGCACCAATGACCCAGGGTTAACAGGTTTAACTTCATTCTAATAGAGTTGGCTAAATTATATGCATTTAACCAATACACCAAATCTTTAAGACCTCAAAACAGGACAAATGTAATTCCTGTTTAAAGGGAAAAAAAAACCGCGAAGATTTGTTAGTGGAAAATTGTTTCATCACTACCTTGTGCTCTATGCTCAATATACAGCACACAAGTCTGCCTTGCAAATTTCTCCATTCCAGTATGAATAACAGAACAGGAAGAATGCAATTTTTAAGGCTAAACTTAGCTGATATGTAACAGCATAATAACCCATGGCCAGCCCCACCTGGATGAAAGGCAGATTGGGAAATTTAGACATGCTTGTGCCTATTAGAAGAGGAAATAGTTAAAGGAAACAATTTGCAGTCTGTGTGACATGGCCTTCTCCACTGTGTGTTTTAATAATCAGTTTCTTCAGAACTTTCCAAATTCACTACATGGAAGGTTTTTCTCTCTGGTGTGCCTTCTGTTATAATGTACTCGAAGAACTGCCTTACGAGCGAAAGTTTTCCCACATTCATTACATTCATGTGGTTTCTCCCGTGTGCATTCTTTGATGTACTCGGAGGGCTGAATTATGAGTGAAACTTTTCCCACATGCAATGCATTCATAGGGTTTCTCCCCTGTGTGAATTCTCTGATGTGCACTGAGGTGTGATGTCTTGAAGAAAGTTTTCCCACATGCATTACATTCATAGGGTTTCTCCCCTGTGTGAATTCTCTGATGTGTACTGAGATGTGATGTCTTAGAGAAAGTTTTCCCACATGCATTACATTCATAGGGTTTCTCCCCTGTGTGAATTCTCTGATGTGTACTGAGATGTGATGTCTTAGAGAAAGTTTTCCCACATGCATTGCATTCATAGGGTTTCTCCCCTGTGTGAATTCTCTGATGTGTACTGAGATGTGATGTCTTAGAGAAAGTTTTCCCACATGCATTACATTCGTATGGCTTCTCCCCAGTGTGAATTCTTTGATGTACTCGGAGAGCTGAATTATGAGTGAAACTTTTCCCACATGCATTACATTCATACAGTTTCTCACCTGTGTGGATTCTCTGATGTGTTCTAAGGGTTGAATTATGGGCAAAAGACCTCCCACAATCACTACATTCATACAGTTTCTCACCTGTGTGAATTCTCTGATGAGTACCGAGGTGTGTCCTCTGGGGAAAAGTTTTCCCACATGCATTACATTCATAGGGTTTCTCCCCTGTATGAATTCTCTGATGTGCACTGAGGTGTGTCTTGTTAGAGAAAGTTTTCCCACATGCAATACATTCATGGGGCTTTTTGCCTGTGTGAGTTCTCTTATGTGCTCTGAGATGTGATGTCTTAGAGAAAGTTTTCCCACATTCAATACATTCATTCGGTTTCTCCCCTGTGTGAATTCTCTGATGTTCTTTGAGCTGTGCCATCCTGGAGAATGATTTCCCATATTCATTACTTTGATAGAGTTCAGCCTCTGTGTGTGTTCTCTGATGTACTAAGAGGGCGCACTTCTTGTAAGATTCCCCACATTCACTGTTATAAGGTTTCTCTTTTGTGTGAACTGTCAGATGTTCACTGAGGTTTGACATCTGACAGGAAGTTTTCTCACATTCATTATATTCATAGAGACAGGCCCCCATATGAGTTCCAGGATAATGACTAGTGTGTGAATTTGAACAGAAGAATTTCCCACACTCCTCACATTCACAAGTCTTCTCCTCTGAGTGGGTCCTCTGTTGCTGAATGAGGTGTGCTTTCTGGTAAAAGAACTTCCTGCATTCATTACTTTCAAATGCCTTCTCTCCTATGTCATTTTCCTGATGTACACTGAAAAGTGAGTTTTGATGCAAGGATTCCCCACGTTTACCACATTGGTAGAATTTCTCTTCTGTCTGAGTTCTCTGATGTATTGTAAGGTTTAAGTCCTGGTAGGAAGCACTTGTACATCCATTAAAAACACAGACCTTATCTCCAGTTTGTGTCTTCTGATGTACCAGATGGGCTGAGCTTTGGGTCAAGTTTTCTTCACATTTACTGCTTTCAAAAGCACCATGTCTTGTAACAGTTCTCTGAGGTTGAATGAGGAGTAAATTCCTGTTGAAATTATTTCCACTTTCATTACATTCATAGTGTGTCACAGTCATCTGAACTTCATCATATTCCACAATAGTGGCTTTGTCACAGGATCTCCCACAATCATTAAGATCAAAGCATTTCTCCTTTGAAACAGTTCTGTGGTTAAATAGAGTTGTGTTATCTAAAATTATCTGCTTTTCTTTACTCCGTGGTTTATTATCAATGAATATTACTTGCCAAAGAGGTTTCTCTTGTTTTTCCTGGTTCTCCTCAATGTGGACATCAACTTTGTAATATCCTAAAATTAGAAACATTGAAAACATCTTATGAATTTTACATTTCTTATTATGAGGAGCTTATAATCATGTTTTGTTATGCTTTGTATTGTTTCTAGTCATGTTTTCAAAGATTAATAATTCATGCGCACAGACAGAAACACAAGACACACACTCTTTCTCTCTGCTCATCCAAGTTGTTTAAAAAAACAGAATTACTCCCAGTGCTAGCCAAAATGGAGCAGCCCCATTCTTCCAGGTCCTCCCTCTCGCAATTAAAAAATCCCTAAGGAAAAAACCCCTCAGCAAAGTGGGAATAGAGGGATCATGCCTCAACATAATAAAAGCCATATGTGACAAACCTACAGCCAACATCATACTCAAAGGGCTAAACTAAAACCATTTCCCCTAAGAACAGGAATGAGACAGGGATGTCTGCTTTCACCATTCTAGTTCAACATAGTACTAACATACAGCGATCAGACAAGAAGAAAAAACAAAAGGCATCCAAGTTGGAAAGGAGAAAGTAAAACTGTTATTATTCACAGATGATATGATATTGTACATAGAAAACCCTAAAGACTCCATCAAAAAAACAATTCTAGGGCGGGAGGGGAAAGTGAGGGGTGTGGGAAGAGACTGGACAGAAATCTTACACCTATGGATGAGGACAGTGGCGAGGGCTAAGTGGGAACCGGATGGAGGGGAGCTATGGGAGGAAAAAAGAGGGACATCTGTAATAATCTGAACAATAAAGATTTATTTAAAGAAAAACGACTAGATTTAATAAATGAATTTGAAAGTGTAGAGGGAAACAAAATTAAACCCAAAAATCGATGGCATTTTTATAGACCAACAATAAAATCTCAGAAAGAGAAACAAAAAACAATCCCAGCTACCATTGCAACAAAAAAAATTAAGATACTTAGGAATAAACTTAACCAAGGAGGTAAAACACCTGTACTTGGAAAACTACAAGATGCCGATAAAGAGCTAGAGGAAGATATACACAAGCAGAATATACTGTGTTCATGGATTGGTAGAATCAACATTCTTAAAAATGTCCATACTGCCCAAAGCACTCTATAAATTCAATGCAATCCCGATTAAAATACCAACAGCATAGTTCACAGATCTAGAACAAAGACTCGAAAAATTCATAGGGAACAAAAAAGACCCCAAATAGCCACAGCAATCCTGAGAAAGAACAAAGTTGAAGGAATCACAATACCAGGTATCAAGTTATACTACAAAGCCACTCTACTCAAAATAGTCTAGGACTGGCACAAGAACAGGCATATTGGTCAATGGAATGGAACAGAGAACCCAGAAATTGACCCAAGCCATTATACTCAATTACTATTTAATAAAGGAGGCTAGAGCATACAGTTGAGTCAAGAGAGTCTCTTCAATAAATGGTGTTGGGAAAATTGGACAGGGACATGCAAAAAAAAATGAAACTAGACCTCAAACTTACACCATACACAAAAATAAACTCAAAATGGATAAAGTACTTAAATGTAAGACGGAAAACCATAAAAACACTAGAGGAATCCAAAGGCAACAAAATCTCAGACATATGCCGAAGCAATTTCTTCACCGATACAGCTCCTAGGGCATTGGAAACTAAAGAGAAAATAAACAAATGGGACTACATCAAAATAAAAAGCTTCTGCACAGCAAAAGAAACCATCAACAAAACAACAAGAAAGCCCACTGCATG